AAGCAACAGTGAGATCTGGGCGCGGAACCACTGATTGGTTCAAAATTGGGAAAGGAGTTCGGCAAGGCTGTATACCGTCGCCCTGTCAATTTAACTTATATGCAGAGCACATCATGAGAAAGGCAGGGCTAAATGAATCACCAGCTGGAATTAAGATTGCCAGGAGAAATATCATCAGTGCAGATGATACCACTCTCATGGCAGAAAGTGAAGAGGAACTAAAGAGCCTCTTGATGCGGGTGAAGGAGGAGAGTGCAAAAGCTGGCTTGAAACTCAACATTAAGAAAACTAAGATCATGGCATCCAGTCCTCTCACTTCCTGGCAAATAGATGGGGAAGAAATAGAGGTAGTGACAGATTTTATTTTCCTGGGCTCCAAGATTACCGCAGACGAGGACTGCAGCCAAGAAATTAAAAGACGCTTGCTCATGGAGAGGGAAGCTATGGCAAATCTAGACAGCATACTAAAAAGCAGAGACATCACCCTGCCAACAAAAGTGTGTATAGTCAAGGCTATGGTTTTCCCAGTTGCAATGCATGGCTGTGAAAGCTGGACCATAAGGAAGGCTCAGCGCAAAAGGATTGAGGCCTTTGAATTGTGGTGCTGGAGGAAACTCCTGCGAGTCCCTTGGATAGCAAGGTGATCAAACCTTTCAGTCCTAGAGGAGATCAACCCTGACTGCTCTTTAGAAGGCCAGATACTGAAGATGGAACTCAAATACTTTGGCCACCTAATGAGAAGGAAGGACTCCCTGGAGAAGAGCCTAATGCTGGGAACAATAGATAGCAAAAGAAGAAGGGGACGGCACAGAATGAGGCGGTTAGATGGAGTCACTGAAGCAGTTGGTGTGAGCATAGGTGGACTCCGGGGGATGGTGGAAGACAGGAAGGCCTGGAGGAATGTTGTCCATGGGGTCGCGATGGGTCAAACATGACTTTGTGACTAACAACAACAACTGAAAAACACAGTAACAGAAACTTAAACATTAGGTATATCACAAGTTAGACAAGGTAACACAAAGTCCAAGTGGTCACTAGCATGGTCAATGAGTAGTGTCAAGAAAGCCAGTAAAGAGAACACTGCTTTCAGAAAATAGAAGTCTTGCCCAAATGAGGAAAACAAAAGGGAGAACAAGCTTGTGCAAGGGGGATACAAGCAGACGATAAGAGATGCATTTTTAAGGAACATATTGCTAACATAATCAAGGTTAACAAGAAAGAATTATTTTAAATATACTAGAAGCAAGAAACGACTCTGGAGGCTGTTGGGCAACTGGATGATAAAGGAATTAAAGGAAAAATAAAGGAAAATAAAGAGACTGTGGAGAAGCTGAATTACTTTCCATCTGACTTCACAGTAGATGATACAGAACAGATTTCAGGAAGGGAGTCAGAAGAATGAAAGTAGAGAGTGATAACAAAAGGTGACATTCTCAGCCTTAATTGAAAACTGAAAGTTAATACAACTCTGGGGCCATAATATAGTTTTTAAAGAGCTCAAATATGAAATTGCTGATTTTTACAAAAATATGTCTATGTCCCAAGATCAGACTTTGCTTCAGAGGATAGGAGAATGGCCAAGGTAACACCATATTTTTTTTAAAAGGGGATCTATTATGGGAAATTATAGCCTGGTTAGCTTAATGCTTCTTCCAGGTAAATTGCTTGAACGTCCCATTAAAATTTGAAATGATAAGTATATAGAGGGATAAGTCCTGCTGAAAAAGAATCAACATGGCTTCCAAAAAAGTCCAAAATGGTAGAATTCTTTGAGAGTGTCTATAACATGTGGGCAGGTGTGATTTGATAAACATTGTTCACTTGGATTACCAATAGGCTTTTGACAAAGTTGTTCACTAAAGACTCATGAGTAAACTTATAGATTATGAAATAAGAGTAGAGATCTCCTTACAGATCAGCAACTGTTTTTGAGATAGAAAACAGAGTAGCAAGAAATGCTCATTTCTCCCAGTGGACGGATGAAACCTACAGATGGAATCCCATAGTGTTTTATATTGAAACCAAGGCTTTTCAACCTGTGATCTGGAATCTGGTGTCAATAGTGAAGTAGCCATGTTTGCTGCTGGCATCAAATTATTTGGAGTGGTTAAAACCAAAAGGGATTTTGAGGAGCATCGAAGGAATCACTCCAAGCTTAGGGAATGGCCATCAAAATGGCCAATACAGTTCATTATAAGCAGGTGTACATTACATGCATGTTAGGGCAAAAATCGCAACTTAATTCTGATGAGATCTGAGCTAGTGGTGCCTGATCAAGAAAGGAATACTGGGGCTATGACTAACAGCTCAATTAAAATGTCAGTTCAGTGCATAGCTGCTATGAAAAAGGCAATCTCCATGTCAGGCATAATTAAAAAATGAACTGAAAATAAAGATCATACTGCCCCTATACAAATCATTGGTTTGAACACAGGCATTGCATATTTTTACTGGTCACCATATTTCAGAATTGGAAGAAGTGCAGATAAGGGCAACTAAAATGATCAAGGGGTTAGTTGAACTCTCTTACGAGGAACAATTCCAATGACTGAAATGGTTTAGCTTACAAAAAAAGGCATATAAGAGGAGACATAATGGAGATGCTCAAAATTATGTATAGTGTAGAGGAAGTGGAGACATTTTTCTCCCTTCCTTGTAATGTTAAAAACTGGTGTCATCCCATGATGCCGATTGGTGGGAGATCTGAGACAGGGCTAAAGAAGTACTTCTTCCCATAGCACGTAGTTAAACTATGGAATTCACTGTCATGAGAATTAGTAATGGCCACCAGTTTGGATGCCTTTAAAAGGGGATTGGGCAAATGCATGGAAAAAGACTACAGATAGCAATTGGGCTTGTTGGCTGCATGCCCTACCTGTTAGAGGCAGTATGTCTGTGTGCACCAGTTGCTGAGGAGCTTGGGGGAGCAGAACTCTTGTACCCATCCTGTTGGAGGGATCCTGTGGGCAGCTAGTTTGCCCTTTGGCCTTATCCAGCATGGACTTTTTATGTTCTTAAACCCACAGACAACGGAATTTTCCTTCC